CTCGCCTCACAATACCGCATCATCATCGTGCCCAGGCCTTTCCGCGCATACTGCGGACTCGTGAAGATTGCTCGTATGCTCGCGCGGTCAACAGCTGGATCGCGTTTTTCTGGCATGCGCAGGGGAGAGGGCGCAGAGTCCCCGCCGTACAGTGTTTTGCGGAAGGACCAGCCGCCGCAGGCACAGATTGTGAGGGGTGCGTTGAGGGGGTGGAGGATGTAGTATGTTCTGTTTGCGAGATCATCAACTTTACTACTCTTACATTCTTCCCCTTCCACTACCAACTACCAAGTTTTCCGGATCTGGTCGTCGGCAATGTGGAGAAGAGGGGTACATATCCCCCTTCCCCTTCCGCAAATGGATAATGCTTGATGACAGTTGATGACGGACGCCTTATTCTTATTGATTTATTGGTTGGAATTATACGTACTGGTCTTTGATGAGAACGGAATCTGGACCGAAGAGGTAGCCTATTGAGCCGTCGAGTTCGGCGTCTGTGTAGTATCCTTTTCCCAAGCTGCGGAGTGAGGATGCGATCATGGATTGCAGGGAGGGTATGTCGGCGGGGGTTGCGGGGCGGAAGGTGTATTGGTGGGTTGCTTCTTGGGCTTTTGCTGAGGCGACGGGGTCGTGCATTTTGAATTTGGGGATGAGTGCTCTGTGTCTTTATGGGTGCTTAACGGGGGTTGTATAGGTCTTTTGCTGCGTAGATGTATCTTTCTTGGTTGTTGGTACATTTCGCCCAATCATACGTTATCGTTATCGCGAGGCTTGGGAGTGGGATGCTTTCCGACGGAAATCATCCCTGTTCCGCAAGGTTGGTTGCTTCGTATCAACCTTGAAATCATTCCGAAGTCACTATGGCGCGTCTTTCTTTCCACAGGTTATACGTACGAGTCGTAAAGGTGTATGTTCCTCGCCGTCAAGGCGCATCGCACAAGGTTTGCCGGACGGCGCGCTTTGACCACCGCGCGCCGGTTGATGTCGTTATTCTAACTTTCCGCCTCTGGCACCCACGTGGCACCATCGTCTTCCTCCAACAACCTTCTTTACAACAACTCTCGAATGACTCCAACCCCCGACACTGACCGCAATAGACCTGATAACGAAGATTGTGCAATGTCAATGTTGACCCGGCTCCAGGCCCAGAGTGAGTAACGGCGCCCCTCACTTAGCGAGATGAACAGTCTGGAAAAGCGAACGCGAGCATCGACATGTTCATCACAATCAATGCCGTTTTCCCTCCGAGTCATATTGCCAGAAGCTCAGGGTTGGAGCGATTCAGCGACTCAGCATCTCAACGGTAAATACCAGACGTGAGGTTGAAACGATCGCGCCTTCCTTGCGAGTCATCCTGCGCGGGCAGGTGATGCGGATGAATGGGGTTGCAGAAAGATCATGGAAGCATCGATCGCAAGATCCAGGATCCTCAACAACGGCAACACCTTGCAGTGGCTGATGCTGTACCTGCTTCTTTTGCTCCCAAGAACTGTTCGTTTTTGGCGTCCGCAGGATGAAGCAGGGTATAGAGTCGTGGACCAAGGGTGTTGCGATGGCTAGCACCCTTTGGACAGATTGCATCAACATCGCCTGAAGCACCCTGACAGTCGATTGCCGCAGGTGGAAGCAAGCTCGTCTTACATGCCCAGTCTGCCAGTATCGCACACACTAAACACATCCATCTATTGGAGTACCTTTGCGAAGAGATTTTCAACGTCACCAGACGTCGCAGTCAAAGGCAAGAAGGCATGGCTTCCATGTGCGGCGCATGCCGCTCACAACGGTCAAGTTGCGATGCTGGTGTTGCCAGCGTTTGGCCATCTTTGGTGCGCTTGCTTTTTGTATCACGTTGGGTGTTGAAACAGCTAAGAGCGTCAGGCGAATTTAAAATAGCACACGGTCCATAACGGGACGCTCCCGTGACGTCGATCAGCCCTATACCAGCAACGGCAGCATATATGCGAAAGCTTATTTGCGTTTGGAAGCGTTCTTGACAACGAACAGGAACTTCGCTATATGCAAAACCGCAGTATCATGCAGAAATACCTACATTCGCAGACGGTCCAATCGCATCTTATGTCGAGAGTTTTCCTCGCATTGCTTGCGATGAAGTCATTCCGCCTTTTCGAGACAGCCGTTTTCTTGTCAGCTCAACCTCCTACACTGACAGCTCGGAGACGGACGTCACTATGGCCAATGATTCTCAGCAGAGTTCACAGCGTACCGAGGCACGGCAGGCACGTTGCGGACGCACTAGGAACATCCTCGCGTGGGGCACTGCCCTGTAGCAAGATCAGCCGGGGTGACTAAAAAGTAAAGTCCAAGCGCATGAATGATGATAGTGCTTTTTCGGTAGTCGGATCACCTGAAGGTCCTGAGTGGTTGACCGTACAGGTTGTTCGAGTCGAGGAGGCTCGAAGTGGGGCTGGTATTCCTCCGTACCCCATCTCCACCATGACTCTCATGAGAACTCAACCTACTTGGCAGTACTTGGTAGCAGTCGCATGACTGGGGCTTGTTGTCCTTGCAATACACCGATGCAGAGTTGGCCAATCCAGTGTCGAGTCGACGAACACCCTCCTCGGCTGCGATCTTAGTTACCGGTTGTTTCCACTTCATCGATGAGCCCACTGATACCTTGGCGGTGCCTGGCACTATGCCCTGTCTTCTCGACTTGATCGTCGTCATGGGTAGATTGAGCTTGGCCATATGCCTGGCCGAACATCTTGGGATTATAAGAAGGTAGGACGCCGGCTTCAGTTGGAGATCATCATCAGTCAACACTGTCATCAACACTACAGTTCACAGGCCCGGTGCTTACATTCGCTCCTACCTTTTTCGCTTCTTCTCTATCTTCTTGTCAATAGCAGATTCAACTTTCATCCCACTTCCCCCTATTCATCCACCAGTCAACACCATGTACGCCAAATCCGTCCTCATCGCCGCCCTTGCCGGCTTCGCTTCCGCCAGCCCCATCGAAGTCGAGAGCCGCCAGCTCTTTGGTGGTGGAATCGGCGGCACAGGATCCAGCTCGAGCGAGTTCAGCCGCGGCGGCTGCAAAGACGTCCTCTTCGCCTTTGCCCGTGGCTCCACGGAGATCGGCAACATGGGAACAGTCGTCGGACCGCCCACCTCGAACGGCCTCAAGAAAGAATTCGGAGCCGACGCCGTCGCGACCGAGGGAATCCCCTACGCCGCCTCCATCGGCACCAACGTCCTCCCCGGCGGCACCGACACACGCTCCAAGAACATGATGGCCGACACCCTCAACAGCATGGCGCAGAAATGCCCCGACTCCGTCATCGTCGCTTCAGGCTACTCCCAAGGCGCAGCCGTCTGCCACCGCGCCATTGAAGGCCTCGACCCCGCCGTCATGCAGCAAATCGCCGGTGTCGTCACTTACGGCGACACCCAGAAGCTGCAGGACAGGGACCAGATCCCTAACTTCCCCAAGGAGAAGGTCAAGATCATTTGCCAGCCTGGCGATGCTGTTTGCCTCGGTACGCTGAGCGTGCTGCCTGCGCACTTGACATATGGTGTCCGCGCGGATGAGGGCGTGGCTTTCCTTGTGCAGCAGATTAAGGGTGTGCAGGCGAAGATCAAGGCGAGGAATGCGAAGAGGGAGGCGGAGCAGATGGCTGGAGACGCTGAGTTGCAGGCGCAGGCTGCAAAGATGGACGCTGAGATGCAGGAGGCGATTAAGCAGGCTGCTCAGGAGATTGAGGCTTAAGCGTTGATTTGGGGATTGACTTGATGGGATTTGGGGCTGGATACATGTGTGGCTGGATCACTTGGGGGATTTTTTATGACCTTCTTTACTTTCTTTTATCTTTTCTTCTTGGATTGTAGTGTTATCTTACGAATTTGATTGGATTGGGCCCAGATATATTGGACATCTTGCGTTTGTGCTGAGTGACGTCTTTGTGAAATTGGCGATAAGAGAGCGCATCATACCTAGGTAGCGATGGGTCATACCAGACCTAAACACATTCTTGGTGACACACCCACATTTGCGTGTATACCCACCTGATTAAATACCATAATGAATATTAGCAATCCGAAGAAACCGGAAGATGGGAAGAAAATGAGTGTGAGTTGACTCTTACGGCTGATCGTCAACTAGACTGTGTCCCAGATAGGTAAGTTACGATAAGGTGTTGATTGTGGCACCGTCGCTTGCCCCGACTGCCCCGAATGCTCCCCGCTGACTGCCCCGCTTTGATAAATCGCCGCAACGACTCAGGCTTCAGCCACCATTCTGACGAGAAGGCGACACAAGCGACAACTCTTGATGCGTGGAAGTTTCATTGCGTCTTTTTCCCTTTCAGAATTCTCTTTACCATGAGTTTGTCAAACTTCCAGCATGAGAAGCTCACGGTACAAAGATGACATCAATACCAAGCGCATATCATACTACGAGCCTAAAGGCACACGAACATACATGTTCAACCCTATCATCCCAAAGACGAGAGAATATATGTGTTAAGGCAACGTCCAGTGTACTATCAAACCAAATTGCTGCCGACAACTGACGCCCCGCCGCCCAGTCGTAGAATTCCATGGTCACGCCGTACGACATGCATACTAGCCTTGTACACGTGTACAAGATGCAGACAAAGGTACGGGATTAGGGAGTGCCCTGATGCTAGTCGTAACCATAGATTGAGCATATCCTCCGGCCATTCACATCAAGCCCCGTTACACCATCACGCAGTGAGCCAGAAGCGGCCTCCAACGGCGCCGGCAGAAGACGCAAATCGCCAATCACCATGTTACGCAGCATAGCAAGAAGAGCCGAAGCGAGACTAGGTAGTATGCCACTATGGTGGAGTTACGCAGTAGCTCGCGGACGATCATTCGCTGGAGAGTAGCTGCGAGGACCATTCGAGCACATGCACTCTCCTACCTCTACCATATCAAGACGAACTACTACACTACTTACCAACGCGAAATACTTTAAACATCGTCTCTCTGACAATACCAAACACGACACGCCCACCATGCCCTCCCCACCACCCACGCCCGAAGAAGCCCAGCGCCGCCAAACCGAAGCGCGCGCAGCCGTCACCGCATCCCTTGCCAGCGTCGGCGCATCCGTCGACAACGAGATGCGCACGCGCACCGCCGACCTGCACGCCAACTCTGCGGCAATCGCAAAGCAGGAAAAGGAGCTAGCGAAGCAGACGGCGGCGCTGGCGAAACAGACTGCCGAGTGGGATAAACTGCTTCAGGGCGGCACGAAGAAGTTGAATGAGGTGGGGGATATTCAGAACTGGGCGGAGATGATTGAGAGGGATTTGCTGGTGTTGGAGGAGACGGTTAGGTTGGTGGATGGGAAGGGGAGGGAGAGGGAGGAGTCGGCGAGTGGGACGGGGGGTTGGTAGATGATACCAAGACATGGTATGGAACTTGTGGCGACGGTCGTGTTATGATTGATGAAGCGCTGTTGAGTAATATATAACATTGTTATCACGTCTCCGGATTGCATACCCAGGTAGGCGCTGCCTTGCGGTGGTGAGATAGTGACATGTCTGCTATCGGATATTATATGGGACGACGGATGTCAGTGTATTCGATCATCGATAGACCCACGAATGTCCCAACAGGCCCCGCGCAACCGCGAGCGTGATTCTGTCTCGTCACCGTCTGCAGAGAGAGTGACGACAGCGCGTCGCTTTCGTGACGCTCTAAGCTTGGATCAGCGGGCACGGACCACGTCTCCATGATTGCGGAAACTGCTACTTGCGGTGCTCGTAGCTGGAGCTCCAACAACACCTTCACCTCACCCACCACCCGCCTGCCGACACAGAGGCTCCCGCTATTTCACGGCTGGCACCTGCACCCTGCCACAACGCCCCCAACTAGCTGCCCAAGATCCACGCCTGCACCGTGGAATCTACCAGCAACCCACCACCCACGCCTCTCCGCCGCCAACCCGCCCGCTTATAGCCATCGCAACATTTCGCGGCGACCGCTTTTGTGTGCAGACCCACCGACGACATACATCATCACGACCCCGCTTTTCGCTCCACTAAAGCCGCAGCCACTTTGGGTTTCTGCGCTTCCGGTAAAGGCAATCGCAGCCTGCCTCTAGACATCCTCTCACGCCACGGACACGGCGCCGTGCTATCCGACCGCCTACACGCAACCACTGCTCGCTAGACATCGGCTTCATAGAGCTTGCATGTGAGCAAGCTTCGTCTTCCGAGCGCCCGGCGCAAACATGAAGATCAAGAAACAGGCTACATCGCGACATGAGTCGACTCTGGTAAGCTGCAGCTCCCCGCGCTCCCCGCCCTCGCCACTGCTAACACAGCGCGTAGTCGCCGATGATAGCAGACTTTGTGAAGGCGACCGAGTCAATACCGCTGTTCCAGCTGCCCGCACATCTCGCCTCGTTCCCCAGGCACTGGCCCTTTCCCCGCGGTGACGCATACCACTGGATCCCCGCCCTGAACCGCTTCGACCACATCCTCGAGCTCTTCAACAAGGAATATGGCCTGGTAGACGGTCCCCAGACACAGGCCTTCCAGCGCCGGCTGCTGCTCAAGGGCGATGCCGAGGAAGGAAGCACCAGCTCCGAGCAAACCACGACCGATGCCGTCCTGGATACCCTGCACGTATCCCGGTATGGCGATCGCGAGCTGGTCGAGCAGATCCTCAACTTCACGCGGATGCTCTTGGAGAACTGCGGGAACCGTAGTCTGTATTCCAGCAGTGAGCGCCTGGACAAGCTGCTAAACACGACCTCCACATCCCTCCTCAAGGCCACGCTTCGTCTAGGCCATCGCCTCGCTCAGCGCTATGCTGCTGCACGCATGCGCTTGGCCCCGGCCACCCTGCACCCGTCCCTTCTCTCCAGCCACTACAACATCAACCTCGACAAGGTCCAGAAGCTGGCTAGCCCGTTCGCGAAGGGCCCCGCGACAGCCGTCCCTGTCTTTGGCACTCCAGCAGGTAAGGGCAAGGACCGCGCTGGCAGCACTGATAAGGTCAGTCCGTCCGACCTAGTCGCTCTGTACTCTCTGTCCGAGTCATCGATGAAGCAGGAGTTCGGAGGCGTCCTCATCTCGTACTATGAGCCCACCCCCTCGTCCGAAGCAGAGAGCGGCAAGCAGGCATCTACGGAGGCACCCGCGCCCACCACGCCGACTCCCGTACGGAGGACGTCCAGCATGGGACCCAACCGAACACCGAGACAGCCCCAGCCTGCACCCGCTACCGATTCGCCGAGCACACCTGCCTTCACTCCCGGACAACCCAGTAATACAACGAACGGGCCCAAGACTTTCCAGCTGTCAGCGGACAAGGTACACAAGACCGACATACACGACCTCATAAAGGAAGGACTCGCAAGTCTACCGGAGACGGTGCACTACGAATTCCTGCACAAGCTCCGCATCGCGAAGATGTTCAACGAGGGACGCACAGGGCGCGACAGTGCAGTTGCCATCCGTCTACTGTCCATTGCGAACATCGGTTACGTACACGTCGAAAAGGAGTTCATGGCCAAGCTGGGTCAGCAAGATGCAGACGAACCACGCCGGTTGCAACTTGCCTACCAACTCTCTGAGCTCGTCCATCCGCCTGGAAACGGCGAGACTGGCATTTCGATGGAGCTGCAGACATATACCATGAGCGCGCTCGAGGCTCTTGCAAAGCACAAGTCTAAAGCGGCTGATGTTTGCACCGCTCTTAGTGTCAACGTCAATCACGGTGTGTTGTTCTACGTTGTGCGCAAGCTGGTCGCTGGCCTTGGCGAGGAAACTGGTAACCCGGATGATATCGAGGAGGACGAGTGGCGCGACGCTTTGTTCTCTCTGCTGAACACTCTGCCGACGTCTCAAACACGCACTGGTGAGCAGATGGTGGCTGCGGGGCTCCTGGAAATTCTTGTCGATGTCCTCAAGCTGCGTACAGCAAAGGCAGAGCGCAACCACCCCAAGATTCTCAACTTCCTTGATACCTTTGTGTACAACCTGCGAGACGCCTTCTCAGCCCTCGTGGCCGCGAAGGGGCTCGAAATCATTGCTGATCTGATGCAATACGAGGTCGACACCTCCAAGAAGCTCGCAGAGGAGGACAAGGGCATGCCCAAGGAGTACAAGACTCAGCTTACTGATTATCAAATTCCGTTCTATCACCAGCAGAGTCTACGCTGGCTTTTCAAGTTCCTCAACCACATGATGTCGCATACAGGCGGAAACTTCGATCGTTTGATGCGAAACTTGCTTGACTCACAACAGCTGCTCAGCAGCTTGCGCACTGTGCTATCAAACGCCAAGACGTTCGGCTCAACTGTTTGGAGCATGGCTGTCACGATCCTTACCAGCTTCATCAACAATGAACCCACTAGCTACCAAGTCATCGCCGAGGCAGGTCTGAGCGATGCGTTCTTGGAGACAGTCGCGGGAGAGCCTGCTTCAGAATCGACGGCTGCAGCCAACAATGACCCCAGTGCTTCAACACCAACGACATACGCTCCTAGGGAGGGTGGAAAGCCACTTGCCGAGGGTATCTTGCCTGTAGCTGAAGCCATCTCGACCCTGCCCCCGGCTTTCGACGGTATCTGCTTGGCTGAAGCTGGTATGAAGCTGTTCCAGTCATCGACCGCCCTCCAGCGATTCTTCGAGATCTTCGAGAGCCCTGCTCACATCAAAGCTCTTGACGCTGATACGGAGATGCCTACCCTGATCGGAAACTCTTTCGATGAGCTAGTGCGCCATCACCCGCCTCTCAAGGCACGCGTTCTTGCCTGTCTAAGCGAGCTGATCGCGCGTGTGGTCCAACTTTGCGCCGACAAGGCCGAGAAGGAAGGTGTAGGAGCCAAGCTTTGGACTGAGGATGCTGCTGGAAAGCTCACCGTGGCAGGCGGCCGCCAAGCGCTTTCTGCATCAGGCTCGCAGCAAAGTACAGCTCAAGCATCAGGGACCACAAGCACTGATGTGGAGATGAAAGATGCTGATGAGACTGCTAATGAACCAGTCGATTACAGTCAAATCACCGAGACTGAGGACAGCACCAAGGGCCCTACCACCGGTCAGTACATCCGCGTACTCTGTCGTTTTCTCTCTGGGTTCTTCTCAAACCACGCCATGTGCGCTGCGTACGTCGAGCTTGATGGTGTAGATTCTATCCTTGACATTTCAAGTCTCGCTTGCTTAGACCCAAAAGCAAGCGAGTATCGCAGCATGTGCGAGCAATTTGGCCATGTCGTCCAGGTACTCGTTGAGCAGAAGCCCCATATTTCTGTGCCTTCTCTGATCAAGCGGACACAAGTGGCATTGGAGCGCCTGCAACCACTCCTCGATCACACCGGCAAGCAAGCCTTCTTCGCACCTTTCACAAGCACTGGCACTTCCCAGAGTCCAGAGCACATGCAGCAAGGTACACAATACGTCAAAGCACTAGTGTCGGCCCATACCCTCGTCGGAGCCATGACCTTGACCTTCCAGAGCCAGATGTACACCACCCGTTCCTCTCATAATGTATCTAGTCAAGTCAATCTTGCGGACATGTACGCACGTCTTGTGGACAGTCTCGGAAAGCTGCATCGAAGCTGTGTTTGGGAAGAGCTTTTGCTCCAGCGCAACATGCCCACAGAATGGGAGAAGGAGACGCGGATCACCAGTTCTGGTTTCGGCAACGATGAAGCCGACAACGTGTTCCGCCTTGGAAACAGTGCGACCGAACCACCTGCCAACGGAGACGCTGCTGCCTCTGGCTCAGCTTCTGAGATCACGGCTCCAAGCCAGAACAGTGCACAATTCAAGAACACGCAAACTCTCCGCAATTTGCTTAGTAGGATACCGATGGAAGTCGCACCGTTCTTCCAGTCGCTTGGCAAACTACTCTTATTCCGCCGCAGTCTTGAGGCTTACCAGAGGCAATGTGCAACGGTCGTGTCAGACCAGCTTGCCCAGGCAGTCATTGACCAGCTCGAGTACGAAGGTCCCAAGGAATCAGAGATCATTGAGGACCGCTATGCGTACTGGATCATCATTCTTACTTCGCTGTCACAGCTTATCGTGGAGGTAAACCTCGATCGATCGCAAGCGTTGACGCTGTTGCTTGTGTCCTTCCGCAACCTCGGTGGATTCGATGTTCTGGCGAACATCCTCAACCAGTTCTACGAATCGGCGCTTGAGATCACCCAGAAGCAGGCAGATGATACTAGTGAGGAGTCAAAGCGAGTGCTCAACCTCTCTCTCGGAGGCATCAAGATCATTCTGGCCTTCTTCTCCCAGATCATCAACTTCAAAGTCATCTCAGAGTCGCCACAGACGTCATCGATGCAAACCCGGCCGGATCGCGATCGGGAGCGGGCTGATCACTTCTTGACTGCTCAGTTTCTTGTTGAGATACGCTACGCCGTTATTGTGCC